GTAGAGCCCTTCTCCTGTCCTTCCCCTTCGCTCGCGCTGCTGGGCCTCTAGCGTGGCTCCGCGTTCTGCTGCAGTGACCTTGGGTCTGCGCTCTGCCACGCAGCGCTCCTCGCGGCGAGGCTCCCGCAGACCTCGGCCTCGCAGCCCTGTGCCGTGCCGGCCGCCGACACTCCCCTTCCAGCCGTGGCAGCACGGGGCGCGTGGGCGCGCCGGGGCCTGAGCAGACCCGGTGCACTGGGCTCTGGTCCGAGGCTGTCTCGTGTCTCAGAACTTAAGCGGAGACACAGTGTCCCGTTTGTGAGGATATCGTCAGGGACATGAAGCAGAGTGTTGGGGTTTAGATCCCTCTGACTGGATTGGTTTTAAGCATTTCTGCCATGGCCTTAGGAAATCCTTGGAACGAATAACTTCACTCTGTGTGGACATGGGGGCAAGGGGATGGAAAGGGTGGGAAGAGGAAGCGGTGGGTGTCCTGGGCCCGGGATCGCACACTTAGGGTTGCGCTGCCAGGTCCTTAGAGGAGACTCGGGCCGTGTGGACAAGAGCCGGTGGGCTGCCTTCTCCGGGCGCTGCTTGGCTTCCGCCCTGTGCGGCCGCCTCCCCGAGTGCGTGCAGTCCGAATGCTGGAATGAGTTACGCTCAGAGCAAACTTGCTTCCTCGCAGGATGCCTTTGTTGACGTGGTGAAGTATTTTGGAGAGAACCCCAAGACGACACCACCCTCTGTCTTCTTTCCCGTCTTCGTCCGGTTTGTGAAAGCCTATAAGGTAAACAGCAGGCTGCCCTGTCACCCGTCTCACCACTTCCCAGGCACGTGTGTCCGGCGCGAATGGCCCTGCGGAGGTGTCGCGCTCCCTGGGGCCATGGTCCGGCGCTCAGAGAGGACAGCGGGGCTCTGCAGGCAAATGGCTCCTGGGGCCTTCGGCCAGGAGCTGAGCCTGGGCCTCAGCCAGAAAACAAAGGCCCTTGGCTGTTGGCTCGGGGCAGATGAGATGCTCCCACACCACTGGTGCCCGGTTGTTGGCTGTTGGTCCCCAGAGGCAAAGGTGAAGGGCTTCGAAAATCCAGGCCTCTCATCAAGTTGTCAGATGGGTAAAAAAAGAGAACTCTGACAGAAGCCCACCCTGTAGCGGAAATCAGGAGAGCTGCCTGAACCAGGCCCGGCTGTGAGACCTTCCCACCAGAACAGTGCTGGTGTGGGCTGCGGGTGGCATTATCAGGGATTGTCTGTTTCTTTATCTAGAGCAGCGGCAGCCCTTCTCTTAAGTAGGAGGCGGCCTTGGGCCAAAGACTCGTGTGTTCAGAGAATGCGTCTTTGGAGAAAGAGTGGTGAAGGAAGGTGTGAGACGACGTTAGCCCCCCCAGAAACACCGCGGTCTGTAGCGCTCTCCCTCGGTATAGGCACCCCTGGATGCCCGACTCCGAGGGCGCTCAGGTCCCGCTGTGCCCTGGCGCAGTGTTTGCAGAGCCTGCACGCGTGCTCCCGCACTGCGTCATCTCTGGATTGCTTGTAACACTTCGCACAGTGTCGGTGCTCTGGGAATACGTGTGATTCTGCATTGTTTAGGGAGTGAGGACCAAACACGCAAAGCCTGTGCGTGTGCGTGCCGATGGCGTTCGATGGAGTTCTGAGTACTTCTGGGGCACGTGTGGATGTAGAGTCCGCCCGGGCAGCACCCAGCTGTACTGTCTGGGCTTCTCTGTGCGTAGCTGGTGATCTCAGTGGAACGAGAGATGCTCAGCAAAGGGGGCGGAGACTGCGAGGGCTGCCTCCCCTTTGGAGAGAGCGCATGGACAGTGTGGGGCGGGGCATTTCTCCGACAGCAGGAGAGGCTGATGACCTTGGAGAATCTTCGTTGGGCCTTTTTCTCAAAAGCTCAGACATTTACCCAGCTCTTCTCAGCATGGCTAAAGTAGTAGTGATAGAACAGCCGCCAGCAGAGGCCGCGTGTCCTTGGGTAGGAGCACAGTGTGGACGCCATGCCCAAGGCAAGGCGGCCGTGCGGAAGGACAGCATTAGTTGCTGCTGCTGCTGCTGCTTCTCTGCACTTGGAGGATACTCGCGCTGTCTGGACAGAGCGGGGTTTGAGGACATCAGCTCCTTTTTCCTTTCTCAAGTATAAATGAAACGTTACCACAAAAACACCAAAGACCAAAATAGGAACTTCAGAGGCCGAGGCTTTAGCTCCGTGGTGCCGCGCCGGCCTGGCAAGCATGAGGTCCTGAGTTGATTCCCGGTACCTCCCCCCATGTAAACTTTATTAGTGATGCATGCTGGGCAGGAGACATGGTAACTTGCCTAAATTAGATAATTTACCGTCAGTGCCCAGCTTGACGGTCAGAAGTCTGCTCAGAGGGGCTGGCTGCAAGAAACCGTGTCCAAAGGGCTCGGAGTCTGAGCAGCAGGGCGTGTCGCTCTGGGGAGGCCCCGGAAAGAAAGGAGAGCCCAGCGAAGCAGCCGGTCTCTCCCTGTAGCGGGCAAAAGGCAGGGGAGTCGTAGGTCCTGCTTCGGAGCAGCTTTCGTTAGGTGAGCATATTCTGGGACCAGAACAAGCTCACGAGACAGTCACTGAGCCCCACTGCCGGTGGGCCCCACCAGGTGTGGTGCTGGGCCTCGGGCTGTCCCAGCAGGGTAGGAGGGCCAGGCCTTCGGGGGAAGCGAATCTCTACTGCCAGCTCTCGCTGTGTGCTGGGTGGCCAGTGAGACCTGCAGGCAGGGAGGCAGGCTCATGAAGTGCATTGCTTCTCCCTTCCGTTTGCTCCAATCCCAGCTCACCGTGGGTTCTCGAAGGATGGTTTTCCAAAATCTTGACTGTGGCCTTTCCTTTGGCGTGCTTACTGGCTTTCTTTATTTGCCTAGCAAGCAGAAGAAGAAAATGAGCTGAGAAAAAAGCAGGAACAAGCTCTCATGGAGAAACTTCTGGAGCAGGAAGCTCTGATGGAGCAGCAAGACCCAAAGGTGAGGAGTGCGGCTGCTGGAGAAGGGCCGGGGCGGCAAGCAGTAGAGGGGGGGAGCGGCAGGTGGCAAAGGTCCTGGCCGTTTCCTGGGGCCCGGCGCACGCTCAGAGCGTGTTTGGACAGCATTTCCAAATTTGTAGTAATCTTAGTTGAGTAAGGAGGCCAGGCCAGGTAACCCAGCACCTGGACTCGGCAGCCCTGGGCTGAGCGTCCGGGACGGAGTGTGGCGCTGCGCGCTGGGCGCTTGCCTGGGCCGCTGGAGGGCTTCGCCTGTCGGACGGGGAGGCAGCGCGTCACGGAGCGCAGCATCCCAGGCAAAGACCATAGAGCCTGGCGCCCTGTGCGCCGAGGCGTGAGAGGTCTGTGGTCGTTGTCCGCTGCTTCTGTGGCTGGCGGCCCCGGCTTGCCCGTCGCTGCCCGGTGGGCTGTTCTGTGGTGTGCAATGAGTTTCTGCTGTCTTCCCGGAGCTTCCCGAGTTCTTCTGCGCTTGAGCGTGTTGGGACGGTGCTGAATGTACTTTCGGCAGAGGCCGCTTGTTAAGATAATATAAAGCTCAGGTACGTTTTAGAGTTTCTTAAAGCCTGGGTGGGTGTGACCCCACTAACCTCTGCTCTTCTTTCTCCTCAGTCTCCTTCCCATAAGTCAAAGAGGCAGCAGCAAGAGTTAATTGCAGAGTTAAGAAGGAGACAAGTTAAAGATAACAGACATGTATACGAGGGAAAGGATGGAGCCATTGAAGATATTATCACAGGTAAAGGATATTTCCTGTCTGTGACCCATGAAGACTCCACTCACCTCACTAGACTGGGCTGTACACAGATTTCCTCACTGTTTTTGACCAGGGCTGCCAAATTCTTTATGTGACTTTATTCAGATCCAGAACAATGCAGAGTCCACGCTGCAGTTCGCAGTGTATTTATAGTATCGCATCTGTTGCCTGAACACGGAAACGCGCTGGCTTTCCGTATCCCTGGAATGCTGTGGTTTCTGCAGGACGCCTCCCCCTGTTCTCCAGGGCTCCCCGGGCTCCGTGTCCTTCCGTGGGGCCAGTCCCACCGCTCGCCCGCTCAGAAACACTGTGGGCTAAAGCCCTCAGCTGTGTGCTAGCCAGGTCCTGCAGGCTTTTCCAGCATGCCGGCTAAAAGCCTCTTACCCGCCACGCTGGGGGAATCGGAGGCGGTACTCTCACGTGAATGAGCCAGCGGGCACTTAGCCTAGGGTGGGGTGGTCACTCCACCTGGAGGTGCGTCTGATCAGCGTGCTTCTGATCTGATTAAAACGAATACTTTCTGCCTGAACCGGTCTTGGGTTTCCAGTTCCTCCTAGCCAGGCTGACAACCCGGGCAAGGAAGTACCTTTTCTTTCACGTCTCAAGGACATGGCAGCTATATATTAGCTTTCAAGATGCTTAAAGGTTTTTGCTACACTAAGGTCCAAAAGCATGCCGGTGTGTAGAGAGTATTGCGATGAGTTTTCCTGTGCCCGTAACTCATGCAGCAGTTGCCAGTCATGGCCGGTTCTGCTCCATGTATGCGCTGACCACCCCCGTTCCAGCCCTGGCATGTTTGGAAGCACATCCCAAACTGTAATTTTATTTGGAAACATTTGAGTACATAAAACAATAAGGATTCTTAAAGAGAAACCAAAGTATACCCACAGCACCATTTTCATCCACCCAAAACTAACAGTTCCTTACTATCAGATACTTAGTTATTTACGTTTCCCCAATTTCCTAACCTTTCAAAATATAGAATTCCCAGACTTTTACTTTTGATTTAGCTTGGTCAGCATTGTAAACAGGGATCCCAAACTGCCCCGACCACACAATGTTTCATCAGCTCTGATCCAGAGAAATTGGGGGGTGGGGGATGGAGAGATTGATTGGATGTTTTAAAAAAAGAAGTCGCTAAGCAATCCCTTGCCCAGCCTAAAGCAGCCTCAGTCCTGAGTGGATAGGTGAGCGGCCCGCGGCGCGTGTAAGGGTGTGCACGGGGCTTCCCGGGGACCGTGTGCTCCCTGCGCTGGCGTGTGTATAGCCCCGGTGCAGCCCCCTGTCTAGTCTCTCTCACGTCCTGCACACGGGGGGAGAACCTCCAGTCTGAGCAGAATGAGGAGCAGACCTCCCTCTGTGGTAAGCACCTCTTAGGCTCAGTCCACACGGGTCCATTGGAGACAGGGAGGGCTCCCGTGCTGCGCGCTGAGAGCTTGGTGCCCCTCTCCCGTCTGCGTGTCCTCGTCCCTGTGTGCATTTCTTTCCCTGACCTAAGTCGAAGGTCCTCCAGAGGCGGTGAATGTGTCTATTCGGAGAACAACTCATATTCTCCTTGAGTATTTTCCGTTTTCCGCCCCAGCCCCGCGCCCCATGCTAACTCTCGGGTGGTCCCCCTCCCCGCACTGCCCACCTCCCGGCCCGGCGCGATTAACCGAGAACTAACCGTGCACTAACGCCCTAGGCTGCAGCTCTCACTGTCTGTGTGTTGTCGGCTGTCCTTTCCCATGCAGTGCTGAAGACCGTGCCCTTCACTGCGCGCACCGCCAAGCGTGGCTCGCGGTTCTTCTGCGAGCCCGTGCTCACTGAGGAGTACCACTGCTGAGCTAGTACCTTTCTCACCTGGTGCTCTTGAAGGTTCCTGTGGGGTTTTGGCCTCCGTGTCCCATTCCTCGTGTCTGCCACGGCCGGCCGCCATGCTAGCATGGAAGTGCCATCTCCTCCGTGTCACGATGTGTGTCCCTCGTGCTGCATGGTTCTGCATTGGTCATTACTGTGCCCTCACTGTCACGTTGTTACACGTGTCTCCACACTGCTGTGATGGCGTGGGTGTGTGTGACAGTTTATAGAATTGCTTGCAGAGTGCTTCAGAAGAATAGTGAGTAGAGTAGTCCTTTGGGAATCACAATTGGAAAGCAAGTAGCTTGCTTTTTGTCTAATATGTTTGGACATGAGATGATGGTCATCATAACAGTAACTAATGAAGCTGAGTGTTTCTCCGTACTGTAGTGGGTTTTCTTTCAGTCCCTCCTTATTGTCAGTTAACATGCTGTGAGGGCTAAGTGACCTGCACAAGAGCTCAGAAGGGAAAAGGGCTCTGAAGCTGTAAGGTGATTTGCAGAGCGAACTAAAGCAGGCCCAGCTGCAATCCGGCCGTGGCTGTTTTCTGCAGTTCCTGGTGGGATGGAACTCATAGTAAGAACTTAATGCTGGGACCACTTGCAAGCTAGAAGCCTCTTTATGCTGATACTGGCAATTCACAGCCTCACAACACCCCACTGTGGGCAGGTCACCCCTGTTCACTGCCCTGCCGAGCTGTCAGGCAGAGACTGAAAACAGGCTTCCGAGCTCCCCTCTATCCTGTTCATGCGTCTTCACAGTGGCTCTGTTCCATGTCAAATCAGGGCATTTCTTCTGGAACAAGATCATTTCTGGACCTGCTTCTTTGGTCAGAAAAGTGGCACCAGAAAGACTAAAGCAAATACGTATCATTGCAAAATGGCACTTTCCTGAGAATTCAAAAAAATGTTTGAAAAATTTTCAACTTTGTCCAAGAAGTTAACCTCTTGGGTTAGCTCTTGGCACTGCAAAGGGAGAACATGTCTCTGGATGCCTAGCTGGTCAGGAGACACGGGAAGACATTCGCTGATTGGGAGTACCGACTTTGGTGCCGAGACTGGCATGGAACTGGGTGGTGTGTTGTCTGTGGCGTGACTGCTCGGAGTCGTGCTTGTATGTATGTTCCCCTGCCTTTGAAGACTCAAAGGATGGTGTGCCCCTGCCTGCTCGGAGTCTGCTGACCCACCAGTGCTTCCTAGCAGGCTGGAAACTGTCATCTGCTTGGGCTGTGTTCGCTGTCCGTTTTGCGGCTGGACTGTCTTTCTGGAGCCAGTCTTCAAAGCAGCTTGGAACTGGGTGGGCCGAGAGCGGGGTGGGAGACGCTCTGGTCTCCCCTGGTTTTGTCTAACCCTACTTGCGGAAATGGTCTCCCACGCGCCTCCTCTGTTGGCTAACACGCCCAGGAATGTTAAGCACGAAGTTGAGTTGCTTTCCATTTTCATCCCATTTTTACTTAACCATCATTTTGTGTTTTTGTTTTTTTCTGTTTAGCCTTAAAGAAGAATAATATCACTAAATTCCCAAATGTTCACTCGAGGGTAAGGATTTCTTCTAGCACACCGGTGGTGGAGGATGCACACAGCTGGCAAGCATCACTTTTTACTTAGCTTCCTCCTCTCTCTGTACGCAGATCAGTGGTTTCGCCTTACGGCTCAGGGTAACACTGGTGAGAGTCTGACCGGGGCGAAGTCTCTGTGCCTCACTGTCCAGTGTCGTGAGGCCGCACCTCTCTGCTGGACTCTTTCTTGGCCTGTTTCAAGTCCAAGTGTGATGGCTTGGGCAGGGGTGTTTGCTGGGGATTGTACTTGCTTTGGGTGCTAGGCTGGCCTGCCCTTCTCCCCTCTTGGCCTTCAGGTTATTCCCTCGACTCCGTTTTGGTCTGGAGGCTGGGAGTGGGTGCTGGCCAGGAAACACGATCTATAAAGCCTTTGCAAGATTAGGAGGGCTTTTCAGAATTGCTCAGCATCCTCAGGACCGTAGACCTGGATATCATGAGTCGAAAGTTCGGTTTTGACCTTCTCTTTTACCAGGCTCACAAGTTCCAATGATGTAAGAGCCAGGAAGATAACGGGCCTGTCCTGGGGCCTGTGCTGAGCCTGAGAGGAAAGGTCTCAGTCCATTGAGCATGGAGGGATGTGCACCCCATATTTCTAATCCTACTTTTTTCAACAAAATCTGGAAACCCTAGTTTTAAATACCAGTTTAAATATCTCATAACTAATTAAAAATGAGGGATGCAGCCAGGCATGGTGCCATATGCTTGTAATCCCAGCACCTGGGAGGCCAAGGTAGAAGAATCCTAAACTTGAGCCAAGCCTGGGAACTTAGCAAGACCCCGTCTCAAAATGCTGGAGGTGTAGCTCAGTGTACAGGCTCAGTGTACAGTGAAACAAATAAAAATATGAGGGATACAGTAGGTCAAGCATTCTGTGAGCTAACTATGGATGAGCAGCTCCATTTTTAATTTAATGAGTAGGTAAAGGCAAAAAAGGGGCTAAATTTGGTTTTCTTCTGTTTGCATTTCTTTCTACAGATAGAACATTTCCTAGCGGAAATATAAAAGGAAAAATATAGTTAAACATAATCAGGGGGAAAATAAGCCTGCTTCATTCAGTTTGGGGGGGTTGTTTCTGTTTTTCTGTGTCCTGATGCTATGGGGGGGGGTCACGCAGACTAGGCTCTGCCTTATTCATGAGAACACGCCTTCATGTTGAGAACACTCACATAAATTCTTGTTCATCCCATGTCATCCTAATAGAGTAGTACCTCCTGAGCTAGAGTGTAGTGATTTCTTTTGTTGAAAGCCGCCTTTGGTTTTGGTTTTGAATGTTAGATGTTCTGCTTTGCACTAGCAACAAAAACTTAGAAGATAGAGGCGGGTGCGTTACCTGGCGGATGAGACTCAGAACATGCTGGGTGGCAGGAAAGAACACAGAGAGTGGAGTACTATTTCCATTTAGATTTAATGGTTAGTTGAGCATTGTTTCTACTTCACAAAATGAAAAAGGAGCCTCAGCTAGTTTAATGGAATGAGAATAATGGAACTGGTATCTGCAAACTAAGGTCTTAAGTTCCTTCACTGTTAAAACTGCAACAATAAGATATGTTAGATAGGAAAGTATGTTTTATAATTTAAATTCATTACAAATGTTGTTTGTAGCTTCCAGCTACAGCCACTTATCACTGAAGAAACCTTTCAGTTAGACTGTCTGGACAAGGACAGGATCATCTCCTATACATTTTTTTTTTTTACATCCCAGAGTCCTACCATTGTTACATCTTACTGTTTAACTGTAAACATTGAAGGCCAACGTAAGTCTTTGGTTCAGTGCTCAATGAGTTTGAAGGGCCTATAAGCTGACGCTTCTACACAAGCTGCTTTGATTGGCTGCCAGCCGGCCTTTGTCTTGCTTACACACCTGAAATGTTGCCGTTTTTTCACGGGTACTCTCCTCTCTCCAGATCTTAGAAACCAGCCCTACAGACGAGCCGATGCGGTGAGGAGAAGTGTCAGGCGGCGCTTTGATGATCAGAACTTACGTTCTGTTAACGGTGCCGAAATGGCCATGTGAAACCCGAGACTTCCTGCAGGAAGAGGGTGCGCACACAGAACTGCCACGTGACTCTGTGCCGCCGGTTAGCTGCAGCCTTGAACACATACGCCAGATGAAGTATTTGAAAGGGCTCCGATTTCGTAAACACATAGGAATTTTAAAGTGATGGGTTCTCCTTTCAACCCTTATTAACAAGTGCCTAAAAATGGAAGTACCTGCTCAGATTAATCAAAGCAATAGGATTTGATTTGATTAGGTATCTTTTTACACCACTATGCTATTGTTTTTTAACCAAAATGTAAATTTCGTATTGAATTCATTATGTGCCACTGTGATTATCCCATGATGGCCCACTCTGGTTTCCTAGTAAGTTGTAAATAACAAGGATGCATCTGCTATGGGCTTTCTTTGCCGAGATGTCTTTTAAGGAATTTTGTGTTCCAGCCATATCCATCAAGTTTGTATTTCAAGGGACTTGCTATACAGGAGAAGGACCACATTCTCGAGTCCTTTTGTAACTAAGCCCCAGCAAAGTGCAAACAGGACGCAGATGCAGTGGCATAAGAAGAGTCAACTGTTTCCAGTTCTGCCAGTTCTGCGGCGGGGGCCATGCCCTGAGAGACATTCCCTGGTGTGAACACGAGGAGACGACGGCGGAAATGTTGAGGGCATAAATGTTGAAGACTTATTTGCAGTACTGTGTTCGGACGCTAGAGGCAGCTTTTTAAACAATGCAAATCTATTAATTAACACTAACATTAACATCTCAGTCATCAGTATTAGGATTTTCCAAGGACCATTATGAATCAATCCTGAGAAGAGAAGTTGATGCCTTGCTAGTCAGGGAGAAGTTTACTATGGTAGCTGCCAACAAGCCTGTAAGACTGAATCTGTTAGCAGAGCAGGTTAGGGACCCGGCCTTACTCTCCTCTGACAATCGCAGGGTTTGTTTCTGCTTTTCCTTTTGTAAACTGGAAAGTATCACTGCATTTGGCGTTCTGTATCAAAGCTGAATTGCCATTCTGTGTCTCAGTTACTTATGGGCAATTACAGTGAAGCTGTTGAACAGTACGAGCACCAGGATTGAGTTTTAAAGATACGAAATGGGACTAAACAGTCCGCTAAACCACTGTCTTTCCCTCCTCTCCAGCAAGGCACTTGGTCCATTCCAAAGTTTAAACAAAAAACTGGACCGCAGCTACATTCATACTTCTCATAATAAACATTGTGCTTCTGGCTTCCCTTCTTGGTACCTTACAACAGTATATTAATTGTAAAGTTTGTTGTATAGTATTTAACCACTGCATTTATGTTGTGCTTACATGAACCCCTTGGTGAAGGTCCCTTTTCCTTGGATAATGTGTAGTTATATGATCTTTTTAAATGTACAGATATTTTGCTATAAAATTGGTGCAGTTTTTTTATGGTTTTTACACTTCTCTTTAATTCCCACCCTAGGCTCTGGGTAATACTGTAAATATTGTTTAAAAATGCATCAGCCTATGCTATACAATCTGAATGTTATTTTAACTTATAGTTGTTTTTAATATATATTTAACTACAAGGACAGTGTAGGGATCAGTTACATCTCACTTTAGTGTACTTATTTACAGATTACTTTTAATCTGCCACCTGTTGGCCTATTTCCATAAACGTGTACTTTAGGAAGAACATGCCAAGATTTTGTCTGTTGGGTTAATACTCGTTTTGATGAAAATAGTAATTTGACCATGAGGTGGACGACAAATAGTTGGACCCTTAGCACAAGTGCAGCTGTTTTCCAAGGCTCAGTGCTGACACGCACATGTTAAAATAATTGCCTATTTATTAATGAACAAATAGACAATGATGTTGGCATGTTCTTTTCTGTTTTGTCTATTAATGGGCCTGCTTCCTACCAATATTAGAAAAATGTTTTATAAAAGCAATTCATGTTACTTTTCTGGTCTTTTCACGCCATCTGAACAAATAAACTATTTACACTACTATTCTGTAATATGTTGTAATCTTTCAGTGCTACATTTCAGGGAGTTTTAGCAGTTTTATGTAGACTTCTCTAGAACCAGATCCGTCTTCGGGCTGGGGAATTTAGCTCAGTGATAAAATACTTATCTAGTAAATGGGAGGCTCTGTGTTCAGTCCTCAGCACCAAAAAATTAACAAGCTAAAAGAAAAAAGACAAAAATAAACATGTATCTCATTTGTTGAACTCAGAATCCAGAAGCAATTGGTAAATTTTAGGAAGAATTACTCCATGTACACTATCCCTTTCTTGTTGAGGCGGGTCTTGCTATGCTGTTCTGTCTAGTCTTCAACCCCTGGGCAGAATGATTCTCCTGCCCCAGCCTTCGGAGTAGCTGTGACTACAGAGCTGTCGCTGTGGCCAGCTTCCTGTTACAAATTCTGACAACGTGTTGTGTGGAATGGAGTAACAAAACAGAATTTGGAAGGGATATTATCTCTAAAATTAGGTTTATAAACTTGCTGCTTCGAGAAAAATAGCACTCTGCCTTCGTGAGATGCTATCCTAATTAAATTAGAATGTCTAAAATTTGCCCAGGGACTTACCAGTCAGCTGTATCTCAGGACCTGCCCCCTTTTGAGACACTGTCTCCCCACTTCAAGAGTAGCCTGGACGGACCTGGACTTGGAATCCTTCTGCTTCAGCCTCCTAGAGTGCTGGTATTACGGTCTACACTATCACACCCATCTTTAATTAGATGGTGGTACAGATACAAATTCTGTATTTGTGGGGCATCTGCACCTGCCAACCACCCTGGCTGGCAACATACGCAGTTTTGGCCCCACTGCACACAGGTAGTGCTGTTTGTAATCAATTATCAGAAAGCTTAAGTGTCAATAAATTTCTTTTTCTGGAAGCAAGAATAATTTTGTTCTAAAAAATCTTCCAGGTGGCTTAAAATATTTTATACTCACTTAAGGAACTATTACAATAAATTATTCTGCCACAACGACTGTGCATACTTCACAGTTGGGACACTCGGCTGTATTCAGTTGTCCTGCTTTTCACAGGCCTGTGACGTAATCACACACACAAGAAGCCAACTGAGCAAGGTGACGTGCCTTATCAGGGTCACAAATCTCTTCCAATGGTGAAAGAGAGCCTGTACAAGCACTGAGGCTTCATTCCCAACTCAGTGCACTTTCTAATATACCAGTTATATTATGCAGACGAAGCTTTTTTAAAATAAAAGGAAATGCTACATTCCGCAGTGAGTGATAATCTCCAGTGCGTTCTGTACAAGTGTTTAATGGTAAAAGATTTTGAAGGTCTTTAATAGTCTACAAATCCAGAATATTTACAATTAGGTTTGAAGAGCTGGGCACGACAACACACATCTGTAATCCCAGCACTTGGGAGGCTGAGGCAGTACAATTCCCATGAATTCCAGGCCAGCTGGAACTGGGACTACAGTGAGACCCTGTCTCAAAAAAAACCCCAACAGTAAATAGAAAAGCTATGGCCAGGGCATTTTATACAGTAGTACTTTCCACCCAGCCTTACAAATGGAATGTAGGCTCCTGCATGGGCTCTACCACTGGGCCATGCCCCACGCCTCTAGCATGCTGTTTCTGAGAAGGGGTCTGTTTTGTCTAGGCTGGCCTTGAACTTGAAATCCTTCCCAGCAGCTACAAGTGTGCACACTTCACAGGCATGCGCCCTGCCAACACAGCCGTCTCATTCTAGCATGTCGGTTTACCAGTAGCTTGTAACCATGTACACTTGTCCACCCCACACGAACGGTAAAATTCACTGCAGTGCCCTGAGCATCGTTACTGTGCTCAGCATGCAGTGAGACTTCAGCCCAGCACTGCCTCTGTTGTTTATCATACTGTTTGTCGTACAGACTTCTCCATGGAATTACTTAATTTTAAGCTGGACGATACTTCATAGTATCAGCTTTAAAACTTGTATCTGTTTAGCATTTGACAGTCTTTATCAGAAATACCAACAAAGACAAATTTATCAGTATAATGCCTACAGAAGTTTTACTGATAGTTTTCCACCTTTCAAAGTTTAATATCCAACTACGGCTATGAAAACCATCCGATGCCAGCAACAAATGCTTGAAGGGGCTGATGCTGCCTTCTTGGAGGGAGAGCGCTACCATTCACCAAGAATAGCAGGCGTTACGAGAGCACTGAACTCTTGGGAGCTTCAGAAGGGTGCTAGAAGAACACATGGACGCACATCCAGCTGATTTGTAGAAAGTTCTTTTTTTCTAATTCCATTTATTTACAAAAGATCTGACTATGTAACTAAGTTTCTTTACATCAGGTAAACAATATACAAACGTGAAAAATCTCGTAATTACAAACACGGAAAATCAAAACCTTACTCGAGACCCTACTTACTCACCTTTCGGGACAGCCCTCAGCTCAGCTGTGGAGGTGGGCAAGACTAACACCTACCCAAGATGTCTGCAGGCAACACCCAAAGCACGTTTATGAACACTGCACTTAGATAATCTAACACCACAGAGTAGCATCAAGAAACGGCTTGGTTTGATCTAGACTGGGGCCTGGGGTTTTTGGAAGCTAGCTTTTCCAAAACAGAAACATCAAGTGGAAAAGCACACCGGGGTAGTTATTAAATTAACGGTCAATTACCAACCAACAACAGTGAATGGGATGGCCTTGAACTGAGAACCAGAAAAGCAATTCTGAGTCTTTATGAACCAACTTTAAGAAAAACTACGATTAAAGAACTGAGGTCAGGCAGATGAAAACAGAGGGCCAAGGAAAGTGTAGGTAATCAACAGCAAAATTCCCTTTCCATCTCACCTTTAAAGCAGCTCCAGCAAACAGGGTACCTGTCATGGCAACGTTACTCACCCTTAATTAAAAAACACCCCAGAAGGACCGCTTTTCACTGTCGCACTCATTCCCAAAGTGGCTGGTTTTCACTGTAGACCTCATTCTGTGTTCCCATCAGGAAGCTTTTAGACACTAGCAGTGAAGGCACCACCACTGGGCGTCACGTTAGGCGCACCTCGATTACGACCGGATTTAGAGCTGGGGTTCGCGGTGCTTACTGCAGTGATGCGTTTCAGCCCTTTCATGCGGATGGGTAGCGTGGACACCAGGCGAGCACACCTGTCAGCATCTCACATGCATTCATGAAGTGCCTGCTAGGTACCAGGCACTGTCCTAATTCACAGGCCAAATACACAGCAGTAAATGAAATAGACAAATCCCTGCTGTGGAAATTACATGACCACATTTAAATGAAAACATCTGAAAATGTTTTCAGAACAAGGTTAGAGTAAGGACCATAATCAGACTGGTATCTGTGCCCTTATCAGAACAGAGTGAGAAGAGAATAAGCGTCTTAGAAAACAATTCCATTAATTATGTTACTTTGCTTTCCATTTATGTAAAAGGAGTTCAACTTAAATAAGCTATGACTGAATTAAAATCTGGTACTAAGACACATCCCCAAAGGAAAAACAGTCTCAGATCTAGGGAATTAATGTAATTGTTTCACTTTCATTTCTAAAGAAAAGTTTAAAAAATGTTCTTCAGCTTCTAAATTTAATTATATACTTAAATATTAAATACTCTATAAACTTAAAGGCATTAATAATCATCACTCTTTCCTAAGTACTGAAGTACTATTTGAATATGCATAGTTTTGTTACACATAATCGAAGATTTTCTTTTAAAGATAGTAGGGTCTAGCTATGTATGGTAGTCCAGGCTGGGCTTGCACTTGCAATTCTCCTTCAGCCTCCCAAATGCTGGGATTATAGGCAGGTGCCACCATGCATGTCTACCTTAAAATTTTTTTTTTATATAGAAGACATTCTTTTCTGAATACAAAAGTAGTAAGTGTGGCTGCCTAGCTAGCACTTACTTAACTATTAGTACTGGAATAAACCCAGAATCATTTACACAAATGTGTAATTGACGTTTATACAGATGAATGGAACTACGTCTTACAGTCATAAATTATGAATTTTTTTCCAGGACAATGCACATAGAAATTTCAATTTTTAGTTTCTTCATCCTACAAGCTGACTGCCTTATTCTATAATCCTTTTTCATTTTGTAGCTGTGTAAAGTCAGATGTATTAGTCAATAGATGAAATAACTACTCTACCAATTTACTACGAAGCATAAGAATTGTTAGAACTGAAACAAAGTGTGATGGGATCATTGCTTTTATTTTGAAGGAATTACATTATTTAAGTTCCTTCAGGAAAACTGCAAATAAACCATACTTGATTGAATAAATTATTTAACCTCTCATGGACATTCAGTTTTCCTAACGTGGAATTAGGGACTGGGTGACAATAAGAACGCGAAATACCTGAGGTTCTGATTTTGACCATGGTCTCAAGTGTATTAATGATAAGGAGGGAAGATAAATGCACAACATTTTCTTAGGAGTCTCAGTTTTAACTGAGAAGTATAAATTACTTTTACTGAGAATAAATTTTTCTTACGTACATTTGTTCAATTTGATATTTTAGCTTTTATCAGTCTAAACACTTAATAACATAATTAGGTTAAAAACAGTCACTGAAAATAAAATCTTCCCATGACCTGTCTTCAGATCTTTTTGGTACCTAACATCCATTTGATGGGATCAAAGGTAGAAAACGGTTAGTCACTTCATTTAGCAAGGATGTTGCACTTTTTTTTTTTTTGAGTTGCCACTTTTAGGTCAAATTATTTGCATGGGAGAACTACAGGGATGCTGAGGATACAGACATCTGAATATGTAAAATTTAAGAAATACAGAAATCTATTTTGAGGACATGTTACAACACATCAATAAGCTTTTTATTTAAATAGAAAAATCAATTACTTTAAAGGTGTACTTTAAAAATTATCATTCATGGAAACAATTTTTTACAGATTCTAAGTCTCCTGTGAAACATCAATAGTATTATCTCCCAGTATCATATGCATGTTTTGAAGATTTTACCACTGACTTGAACATCAACATGATTAGCAATCT